CTGCACTGCACTGCACTGCACTGCGTCCTCCATCTTAAACTTGCTGTTGGATAGCAATAGTCACCCTCATGTACTCCCTTGTTGTAGCCCCTACCCTAACCTGTAAAAAAGCCTGTACCAACCCTAAACTTACCTAGTAATTTCCATCTTTCTTTTCACTACTTTCTTTCCGTAGTAAGCACCAGTGCAAGTTACCAAAGGAAGCCTCAAAGATTCTAGACTGGGGGAGGATTTGTTTCGGGGACCTCAGGGAGCCTCAGGCTACCCTTGAAGAGTCCATACAACCTAAACCCTGAATCCTAAATCCTAAATCGTACCAAAGAGGCAAAACCCAAATGATTCCTTGAAAAGCAAGTCAATGCAGGAGGCGTCCGGGCTCAAGCACTCCACGACCCAGGCAGCACGCCAGATTTAGGCGAAGGTTTTAGGATTTAGGATGTAGTGTGTAGGCTTTGGGATGTAGGTTTAGGAGTTAGAGTTTTAAGTTTAGAGCTTTGGATTGAGGATTTAGGGTGTAGGGCTTCGGGATGTGGGTTCCGGGAGAAGGGGGGATAATCTGGTGATCATGGAGTCCTTCATGGTGGTCAACAGCCCACTTGTCCTCAAACCTCAAGATTGCCTAGGCCTTACATTGAAATTGAACAACTTCTGACACGCACGGTGACAACCCTAAACCCCCAACGTAAGCCCTAAACCCCGAACCCTAACCCGCGTGGCTTTTAATTTTGGCTATGGAGAACATTTTTTTCTTGTAGGAACATGCCGATGAGCTTGTGGGCCGGGCCTGTGCGGCCCGTGAGGTAGTAAGGCATTCCTACCTGGCTGAATTTCGCCGTGCTTGAAGTTTACAATATTGATTTGATCATGCCTTCCTGCCACCTTACCACCTGGACCCTAAAAAGATTATCCATAAGCCCAAACTGGCTGTTCCTTCATCCTTTAGTACTTTAGCCTGAACCTTCAAACTTACCTCATTTCTGATGCACAATTGCTTCGGTGTGACTGGGCTTTCGATTAAGGGATGGCTTTCGGTCACCTACTTCAAGCATATGGCTATGTGCTTTCCAAGGTTATGTGCTTTTCAAGATCCCCGTCAATCCCACAGGTCCTGTATCTCGCATATTATATCAATGATTGTCCGTATTCTTAGGAAGGTCATGCGTGTTCTCTGTTTTTGCAAGTGTTCCTACAACTCCTCCCTCAACCCTAGACTTGACCCAAAACCTCTTTCCATTTTTGTTTCCACTGCCGTTATTGAGCTTCCGTTCAGCCCAAGAGAGACCGGCCAGCTGCAACACAAGTAGCACTACATCCAAACAGCAACAACAACAACAACGACAACAACAACAACAACAACAACAACAACAACCACAAATACGACGACTACTACTACTACTACTACTACTACTAGCCGCCCCCCCCCCACCAACTATGTTTGCTTAAATTGCGAATATAAA